TTTTTTGAACTGAAAGTAGGGTTGCAGAAGGGAGAAAAATCAGTAATGGACTGATTTAGCATTTATTTTTATCTTTCTTCATGAACTTGTACTTTGTCTTGTGTTTGTCTGTTTGCTGTATCAATTTCCTGTTATTTTGTGTCAAGTTTTTGTAGCCTTAATGCAGATTGGGATGGTTCCCCACTTACTCTTCTTAAAATAGCTCACATCTAATATACACTCAAAATATAACTATACACAATAACTTTTCAGCTCACCCTCTTAATTCTCATTAGTAAATTTCTTGAACAAAGTTGTTACAACTTCATTGTAAATTTTTTCTTCGGATTCTATAGGGCACTGGATTTGACTTAATTTTAAAAGCTATTGCATGCATTTTGTCTGCTTACACTGTCTTAGTAATGGTGTTATTGCTAATAAAGTGAAAGAAAGTGAGTATTCAAGGCAAATAGCCTGAGGGGCCACTTGTGCGGTGGTACTTAGCCTCCGCCTGTGCGGCTCCCTGCCGACTGTTGCGGGCTGGGTGTTCTCGCTGCTGCTTGTGTCTGAGAGCAGCTTGTGTGTTTGTGTTTTTCAGGCCTGGCACAGTGGGACACCCTTCAGAGCTGCTTTGAGATCTCTTTTAGTTTTAATGATTCAGTACTCCTCGTATTTTTTTGGGGCTTTTTTTGTTCTTGATAACGTTTTTAAAAAATTGATGTCTCAAAGCAGTTTGTGTGGGACTTCTTTAGTTTTAAAAAATAAGTGTATGAATATCGGGAAATAAAATGTTTTCTTTCCTTCTTTGTCATCAAACTAACTCTGTAATAATATGTACATATTCCTTGTGGCTTCAGTGTTGGCAAAGTTTCCAGGAATCTCCCCAAGGATGTTTCAGGCAGTTTATGAACTGTCCTGTCTGTGAGAAATGTGCATAGATCAAAATCATCTGACACATTTGTTCTACATTGTTGTATTTCTGGCATAGTAAAAAGTGAGCTTTGAAAGTCAGCAGATTTGTTCAAAACCCTCTCAATCAAAGATTTAAGCATGACCGCGTGTTCGCCAGCAGGTTTCTGGTTTGTGCAGGGCATGTTACAGTGAACTAATAGATCAAGTCATATAAAACAGTGTTAAACTATAAGAAGCTATGTAAAAATTGCATAATAGAATTCTAATCTTGCAGTAATTTACATTCAAAATCAGCAGTGAGTTGCGAGGGGGAGGGAAAGATGAATTTCAGCTCTCTGAGTTGTTATTTTCCTGCTCTGAGCTGCATCGGTCTGGAACAACTTGTGGGTGTGTTGGTCATGTATGGATCAAAAGCCCCACTTGGGAGACAGAGGTGGGATGGACAGTGCAGAGGAGGCTTTTACTAATGAGGTACTGGGGGAAATGGAAGGTTTTCAGAGCTTTAAACAGCTGCTGCTTGTGGTGTAAGAGGTGGCTGAGGGGAGGAGCGGATGGCGGCTGCTACGCAGTAGGAGGCTGGAGAGGATGAGGTTGCCTGGGACAAGGGAGGTGAAGGTCCCTGAGGAGCGCAGAGCCCAAGCACTGGGGGAACCATGAGGAAGGAGACCACCTCACCAAGTGGCATGGTGCTGGCCATGTCCAGGCAAGGGCGGAAAATGAAAAGCTCTAGATAACTGAAGGAAACAACAGAGACTTCAGCTGTCCCTATGGAAGATAGGTGTGTTGTTATTGGGGACAAGATGAAGCCCCAAGAGGGGCAAATCTTCATGCTGTCCTTGTCCAAGCTCGTGGGCACCTGTGAGGAGCTGTGACGTGGAGGGATGAGGAGCCAGAGCACTGAGCAAACAGCACAGCTTTCCTGCTGCAAGGTGTGCCTGCCTGAGCTTGTGTTTTCCCCTCTTCTGAAATACTTGTTATTTTAATGTGTATGTGTTCAGTAGAGATTGTCACTCAACTCTCTAGACTGATGTCCAAATCATACTTTCTTTTCGTTAATACATACAACTGAATTAAAGACCCAGGTATCGGCATATGTGGTGTGGTTGGTTTCTTCCAGTATCTGTTGTTTCACACACGTTAAAAGTAAATGCTGCCTTGTGGCAGTGCCTGTTTAGGTGACTGGAGTTCCTTGACCTTGCTCATAACTGCCCTTACTCACCTATAAGAATTTTTTACCAAATAAGTCAAATATCACTGGAAATCCACATTTTTTTGCCCTTGCGGGGTTTGCCGTGGGAAGCTCTTTTAGCCAAGTCCTTACATGGGGCACTTGGATGCAGAGTGTTCATGTGCCCTTTCCTCCTTCCTGGTATAATCAAAGCTGATCCACTAAACAGTGGAGTTAATATTTACCAGCTTCTATGAAGTAGTTGATCAATCTAATTAGCCACATTACTTAAAATTTAGGACACTCTTCCTAACTACTTTTGTTTGTGGTACAAAGTATTGTTATTTCTAATCTTTCTCCAGAGAATGTTTCCAGTCCATGTTAGCCCCCCCCCCCCTTTTTTTTCCCATCATCTTTAATAATTTAAAAGGAGTAGATTCTTCATGTTAAGATTTAATGGTTTTCCTTGTTCTTAAACTTGTCTGGCTGTGTTAAAATATTTCTTCAGCTGACTTGTTGAGAAATGAGATGAGACCTACTGCCTTTAGATAAAATATTCAGCCCCATGAATCCCAGATACTCAATCTTAATAAGCTAATGTGTGCATTTTGACTTCTGTGCTTACATCTTAGTGCAAAAATTGATGTGTTCAATGGACCTGGTACATTTTTTTGCTGTTAAGTTAGTAGGAACAATATTTGGGGTGTTCTAGAGAAAAATTGAAACAGAAAGCTAGTAGTAGTTGCTCGTAAGTTTCTGGCTAGGAAAATTGACTAATATAATAGAACTGCTGTAATCTTCTGTTCATGCGCTTCTATTAGCCATGGCAACTACTTTCTTGTAGTTGTGTTTATTTACAGAGGCCAGTGGTTACTAATGTAACACATGCTTTGGGATTTCTATCCCAAATATAAATTCTTTGTGAGTCTCCTTCAGGCAGAATCATCAACCTAATCTAACAAGTGCTCCCCAGCTTCCCTGTTGTTCAATGGAGTTTCTCCATCAGCTCCTGGCACGATCTCACCATGTGCAATAGCCTTAGCATGGGAGGAGCTGAAGAATGTGTCTGATAAGAAAGTCAGCGTGGGAATGGCAGCTGAGCCCTGCAGTTTCAATGACCTAGCTCAAAATTGCAGTTTCATGTTCTAATAAGCACAGTCCTATGGGTGATTGTAATGCAAATGCGAATATCTTGGGGAAATACTCACTGTTCTGTGAGTATTTGCCATTTCAACAGATATAGCAAGGGTAAGAAAATGCTTGAATTCTGTTTTTGGCAGGCAAAGAGAAGCCACATAAATGTTAAAAACTTATGTATTGTACTGTAAGAATGGGGAGTCTGTGTTACATTAACAGCTATCAGCTTTAAAAAATCTTCCAGTGTGCTTCACTCCAGTGTGCTGTGCTCATTGCTGCTTGTGCACTCAACTCTCCTCCACAACAGATTTGCCTCTGAAATGAGGACTGGGAGTGAGGAACTGGCCCAGAAGAATCAAAGCTCTGTTTTGAAATTTGTTTTCTCTTTTTCTCTTCTGTCTTTATTTTCTGCTGTTATTTTTGCCACACAACACCAATAGTGGGAACATCTGAGCAGTTTTCCTCCTTGTTTTCGCTCTGAATCAGCCAGTGTTGAATTTCCAGAAGCTACTGACAGGAAAATAATTGCGAACACGAGTTATTACTTGTCTTGTAAGACTCTTAAATTAACTGGTGCTTTCCTATCAAACTAAAGAGTTTGTCGGTGCAACTCTGCCCTTGACTCCAGATACTGATCAAACCTGCTCTTTTCTGCCCAAAGGCCGGGAGCTGTATTTCTCTTCATTTCTTGCTATGTCTGAATGTTGACTACATTTCATTCTAATTATATCTTTCTCATGATAGTTTCAGTTGTATTTCACAGTACTACTAATGTTTGTGCACATTTTCTTTAAATAGCCAGTCTATTTAAGGAAACCAAGGGAATGGGATTGTGGGAGGCTCTAAGTGTACCACCAATCACCAATTAAAAGTTGATATCTGAATTCTACCAATTTAAGAAAATAATTGGGAGCAAGTGGAAGTAACTCTAGCGAGTTCTGACGCAGCTGTGTTTTCAGGTATGTTCTGTAGTATAGGACTTACGTATTTGTCTACCTTTCAACACAGGTGTGATAGTTGGGAGCATCTTGTTTTACTCTTTCTTTCCATCTCTAGCTTTTTTCTTTCATCTCTTTCTCCTCCAGTCCCTCGTTCTGGTTCCTGGTGTAAGCACTTGCTGCTTGCTCTTGAGATGGGGCAGCAAACGGGTGCAGTCCTGAGCTGAGGCCTTCAGGCTTCTGCTTGGAGCAGGGTAGGGGAGGTTCATCACTTGGAGAGATCAGACTACAACAGAACGATTTTTTTCTTCTCTGTAATGTAAAGTCTTACTCTTAATCTGGTTGTATTTTCTCAGGTGCTTAAGTCCCATGAAGCCTGTTCTCAAGAGGTATCTGTCTGCCTGACTTGAGCTGTATTACACTGAAGAGTCACAGTGTAACTGCCAGTCAGGGTAGTAGATAATGGTTGGTTTGTTGTCTGTGAATTATCTTCCCTCTTTTCCTATTCATGCATGCACTTAGAGCTTCATGAGAGACTCTGACAGAAAAAGCAGCATCAGAAAGCGCATGAGTCAAGGCAAAGTACTTCTGTATCCAGATGGATTTCTGCAGTGTCAGCCAAGCATTGACTTTGCTGAAGAGCTCTCTGGGCTTGTCTTGTTGACTGTAGAAACATGAAAATTTCACAGCCAAGATCTATACTCCAGAGTGGCAGCCTTTCATAGCAAGTGTAGTCTTGGTATATAATTAAAAACAACAACAACAACAACAACAACAAAAAAACAAACTACTCTTATGTTCTTCAACCATCCTGAAGATTTAGTGTCTAACATTAATTTATTGCCTTCACGTTTTGTGTCTTTCAGTGCACTTAATCCCAGTAAACCCCATCAGGGAAGATGGACTGAATCCGAAGAGCCGGAAGAGAATAATGCCAGATCTGCTGACTGAACCCCCTGCAATAGATCCTGTTTATGAAGCTCATGTTTACTGCAACGTTCCCACCATTGCGGAGCGCAGCATGGAAGGTGAGCTCGGCGCTTGCAGATGGGCGCTTTGTTGCTCGTTTCTGCATGCTGACATTGGAGGCGATTGCTCTGTGCATTGGCACTTCTCCAGTGCTTGGAGCAAGGTACAGCAATGCCAACTGGTTGCTGAATTGTATCGAATCATTCAAGATGCTTTGCTGGCCTTTATCTCCTTTCATTTTCTTGCAGGTGTCTTGATTTTTGGAAATGGTCTATTGCAAAGGTTCTGCTGCCACTTCAGCTGGATGTTGGGACACTGTTGTTGTTCCTGCATTTTGTTTGTTTATTTTTTCCTTAAAGCACTACTATTCAGGGGAAGATTTAGCTAACATTCACTTGTTTTTTTTTTTTTTAATATATTTTTCTCTTTTACTTAGGTCATGCACCTCATTATTTTAAACTAGTGTCGGTTCAAGTGTTGATTCGACATGGTGATAGATACCCGCTGTACGCCATTCCCAAGACGAAGAGACCTGACATTGACTGCACCTTGGTGCCTAGCAGGTAAAATTCTTGGCCTCTCTTGTTTCATTTTTGTTTCCTCAGGGTGCAGCTCCTCATTTTTGTGTACTGTGGTGAACTGGAATAGCTTTGAGGGATATAGAGCATTTCCTTTGAAACACTTCATTTTGCTTCCAGTTCAGACCAGAAGAATTCTGAACGTTTCTGTTTCTAATTGAAAAATTAGGAGTGTATCTGCTCTATATAAAAAAGCAAAAGATGTTTAATTTAAATATTTAGGTTACGATTCCTCATAGATAAGCTTCCCCATTTTAAAAATGTGATACTTGTATTTTATATTTAGATTATTTCTTTTAACTTTTCAGAAGTAGAGGCTATGAGACTTTTCCCTTAAAAGATTTGTATCAAATTTATTTCAGGAGGGAACATGAAGATTAGACATTTACCTACTAAATTACAGGCTAAACAGTGCATACAGCTGTTTGCCATTTAAAAACTACCTGTCTGTAGTTACCTCTGCTGCTCAAAACTGTCACACATCAGTTTTCTGTCTCTGCCATTAAAATGTCATTTACCTTTTGCTTCAAAATATTGTCCTTCTGTCTAACATCACATCATTGTAGTTACCTGATGCCTGTCTTGATATGATTGGTTCAAGCTGTAGATGTACTCTTGAATGCTTCTCCTTCAAGAAGAAACAATTCTTTCTTCTTTAGGTTTTATTCTTTGATAAAGACCAAGTACAGTGTAAAGCAGTGGAAATGAACAGGGTGATGCAAGTTCCAAAACCCATGTCCCAGCTTGCTTGATTACAGGGAGCAGGATCTGTGTATTTACTTCCCTTTGCAAGAGACCTTTCCTGATGACCCCTATGAATGTTTACTCTTAAAAGAAAAATACCAAGGAGCATCAGCACACATCAGCAAAGCCTTTTGGCAAATCGGCAGCTTCCTGCTGCCCTGCAATCGGCAGGGCAGGAGCCAAGTGTGGGCATCTCATAGGTGGCTGCTGCCTTTGCTTGGTGCCCGTGCCTGTCATGCCAGGGCAAGAGGCGTAAGGGGTCTCCTTATCCCAACACGAAGCTGTGCACAGGGACTGAAGTATCTTTCTCCGGAGTAGTGTGTGGTCTTGGTCTCTAAAGAGCTGGTGTTCTGGCTTTCCTGGTGCAGAATCCTTCCTAGGGTGGCTTTGTGCCCTCATGGTGGCACAACAACTAGTGCTGAAAGTGCATTTCTGCCTATTAGGTGTATCAAACGTGTTTCTTCTCCTGCTGGGTTGATAGGCCGTGCTCCTTAGACTTTTACTAGCTTTTCATCACTGGTAGCGTTTATGACTTTTATCTTTCATATCTGAAGTACTCAGTCCTTTCAGCTTTTCCTCAGTGGATATTTAACAAAAGACTCTCTTCTCAGGACAACATGGACTATGGCAAGCTTGATGTCTGCGATTAGCAAGTCAGCAGCAGTTCTGTTCAGGAAGCCAATGCAATTTTCATATCTGGTCCTGAGTCAGTTTTTAGTTTGACTGTATTAAAAAACAAAAGTTGAAGTAATACTACACAGTAGGAATGCTGCTAAAATATGCAGACCCAATATGAAAGGATACCTGCAGTTAATCATGAAGCACAGCTTCATCTTGTGCTCCTGCTGCTGATGGGAACCTTGATTAAAGAGGCTTGCTAAGTCAGTGCCTACAGGAGTGCACAAAGGGGCTAGCAGAAAATTATCAGCAAAACTGGTAGTTCTCTGAAGAAAGGTGAAATACCTTGACTTTCTGTTCACATATATGGCTGCATAAGAGCAACTGCCTGTGGTGGAGTAAATATTCTGAAGCCTGCAAGGCTTGGAGCATGCTCTTGAGTTATAGTCAGTGCCCTAGTGTGGTCTGAATAATCCAAAATAACCCTGTCGCTGGCCACGCTGCTGTTACTGGGGAGTGACTGCACGAGGCCTAGAGGCTGTGACACGTTTTCCCTATCAGCGTGTCTGCTGTAGCTGTTTGTAGGATCCAAGCTTAAGATGTCCCAAATTTTATTTAAGTTAAGCTAAGTTCTGTACCAGGGTCTAAACAGAGAGGAGTGTGTGTGTGTGTGTGTGTTTGTATAGAGTCTCAATACAAACTAAATGGCAGTATTATTTTTATTAGTGAAATTAAGGAAAAATGTTAAATATTTTATACATTTCTAATCTTTTATAGATATAGTATATAACATATTGATAAATTATGTATAAAGGCATATAGAATTTATATATATGCTTACATATGTAATGTATAAATGGGAAATGAGAAAGGGATTTTAATGGGAAAAATGCATTTTTTAGGATAAAACAGGAAGAAAAATTAGACATAAGAAATCTGCTTATTATAGTTAGCATTGCACTAGGGTTGAGAATATTTAAATAGCTTCTGTTTTCACTATTTTAGGGTATGTACGTACTCACATCTTAACTGCTTGATGTGAGTATCTAAACTAAAAATTGAACAAAAAGAAATCTTCATCTCCCTGCTTTGACACCCCACTTACAAAGGAGACTGCTCATCTTTTGGAGTGCTTGTCTGTGAACACCAGCCCAAATACCTGATGGATTTTTTTACCAATTCTGAAAAAGCTTTATATGTCCTGGGACACATATATATGTGTGGTCTGGGATGTCTTACAGTGTGCTTTTGTTTCTTTGTTTTTTAACTTTTCATCCACTATCTTTTTGGCCACTTCTGTAGTTCATTCATGCTTTAGCCTTTCACCAAAATGCCTGTTTTGCCCAGAAGTTGCATCCTCTGGCATGAAATCAGGGCATGCAACACTGGGATTGCACACTGGGGACCTAATTGCAGATGTCTTTACCAAGGAGCGGGCAATAAATATCTCTAACAAGATGAAAAATGAACAATTTTCCAATAGCTGTAATAGTATTTTAAATGATTTGCCTTTTATAAGATGAGATTATTCTCAGAAAGTAGCATTAAGGAAAGAAATTTGATCTAAATCTTCCAGAGTTCCTAATGACTCTGATCTTGCTTGGTGTCTGCCACATTAGAATATATGAGAGAACATTTTTACTGCACAGATGTTAACTGCAAGTGATAACATGGGATGCATAGCTGTGTTTTTCACCATTGCAGTGGCACATGACCTTGGTTTTGTATTAGTCAGAAAAGCTTTTCCACTTCAGTCTTGGGCAAGTGCTATAACATGACAGTCCTGGAACCAGAAAAACCCTATCCAAGAGCTGCCGAGTGTCACCTTTGTCACTGCCAGCAGAACAGCCAAGAGGAGCAGCTGGGGGTGTCCTCCAGGCTGCGGGGAGGGCGCCAGCACTTCCTGGCCTGGTGCTGATGTGTGGGGCATTGGAGGTCAGGGTAGTAGGGCTGATGGGTCTGTTGTAGCCACTAAAAATGAGGAGAGAATCAAAAAGACCTTGTCTCTTTCAGAACAAAGTTCATATAAAATTTCCTGGCTAACTTTGAAAGGGCAGCAGGAAGATTAAGAGTTGGCTTTGTGCCATAGTGTCCAGAAGCATTAGTGCTGACATTTCCAAATACAGCTAGGATTTTTAATGTTTCTACCATTGTTTCAAATGATATATTTATTATGTTAACATCAGGAAGTTGTTTGCTGTGTTTGGCTCTCAAAATTATATTCTTTAGATTTACATTTGATGCTTGATTGTAAATGTATTTATATTGAGAGTGTTGCAAGGCGTACAGCTGCAACCTTTTAACTGGTTTCTTGATGCTGCATAATTAGATTGAGATGTCTGATTAAAAGTGTGACTCGTGTGAGCTGTCTGGACTTCAGTTTCAGATAAGCTTGCTGCTCGTATTCAGGCTGCTCTTTATTTGACTTGGCATTCAGCTGATGGAACTCATTAATTATACAGATGAGGCTGCAGCCCCGTGGACTTCCAGTGGGTATGCAAAATAGTCTTGAGGTCATGCTTGGGATTTGTGAATCATGGATTGTGACATGTAAGTGTGAAATGAATATAGGCAAATGGATTAAATGCTTTGGAGATGACTTCCATCTAAAGTTTCGATTAATATTGTTATTTTCATTGTTCTGGATGCAAATTTTCAAATGAACTGAATAATACATGCTTTTTTCCTTCAGAAATTTAATTGAGTGGTATTAGTGAAAATATTTCTATTGTAATGTTTGCTTGTCGGGGGAATAAATTAACCTTCCTTTTCTTTCCCTTTTGTACCTTGCTTGTATAATGTCACAATCAACAAATATGCCATGTTTCTTCTTTGAGGTTATATCTGAGAGATGATATGATAACATAACCTCTGAGAGAAGAAATATTTTTGGGAAAATATTAAAATGATTTCAGAAGACTGCTGTACTTGAATAACGTGCTAGGCTAACTGGTGTGTGCTTGAAGTCATTTTGAGAGGTAACAGACATTTTAGTTTCAATACACACATATCTTGAAGACTGTGAAAAAGAGAGAGGAAAGTGTGGCAGTGGTCAGTATTGCACGGTGGACTAAAGGAGGTGTGGAGCTGACTAGAGGCAAGAGCAGAGTGTGACCTGGGCCAGAACTAGGTGGAGAAGGGACTCTTGTTGAGGCTCCTTACAACTTCTCTAAGGACATAGAAGAAGAGCTGAAGAATGATGCTTCATTGGACAGTTTGGTGCAAGGCTGTAAAAGCTGGTAAATCTATGTGAATAAATAAGCCCTGATGATCTCTTCAAGATCCTGTGTGTAGGCTAGGATGATCTGTTGGTTTTAGTAGGTATTTCCTTTCATTTGCTTTCTAGAGCTCTTTTGGGTACCCGGACTTCACAGAAAACTGCTTGGAGTTATAAAATCACTTTATTCATTTCATATAGAAGAGAAAATAGACTTGCTTTTGGTGCCAACAGAGCCTGCTATGATATCATTATGAAAAAGTGAAGTCCATCTGTCAGAAGCTTGGTGCAGCAGCTTAGCATTTGGCATGGTCATATTTATTTACCACTGTAGGTTCTGCAGCTGTGTCAGAAGTTGGGTCCTCTTGGCTTGCAAAAGATTCTGCTTTTCTGAACTCAAGTGACATCTGCATAGATAAATGTAGTTTTAAAAGCAAATGAAACAAAACAAGACAGTGTTTTGTTTGATATCCCTGTCTACTTTTGCGTCAAATGACATCTGCATAGATAAATGTAGCTTTAAAAACAAACAAAACAAGACAGAGCTTTGTTTGATATCCCTGTCTACTTTTGCAAGCCCCTTCCTGAGGCACAGAGATCTCATGCAGGGCTCGAGAATCCAGTGTTGTGAATGGATAGCAGTGCATATAACAGAGGTAGGATGAATAAAAATCCTTCCCCTCTTGAATTCTGCTGAACTCATAATCTGCTAACTGGCAGTTTTCTGCTTGATAAGTATTCAGGTTAAGCTTTTAAATAGAGCGAGTTTTTGTTCACAGAGATCACCGGGTAAAAAAAATCTTCCACACGTAGGCAGTATATATCACTATTAGTGTTTTCCTCAGTGGTCCCGATGAACACAGACCATTTGGAATATGGACCAGCCCTGATAGGTGTGGACCATTTTCTTCGTGCTCTGGCAACTAATTCTAAGGTCTAAAAATGGTGATGTCATATCAGGCATGTGGCTTCATGGCTGTGATGTTAAACATGTGCTCCTCATCCCAAAGAGGCTTCTGTGCATTTGAACATATTGAGCAACAGGGGCAAAATGTCTCAGTCCTCAAAGTCAATACTCAAGAACTGCTACAGAAGTCTTAAATTCGGTTTAGTTAAGTCTTACTTGGATGGACATGACCACACGTGCATACGTGCATGCTCTTTGTAACAAATGTTCTGTGCTGCTGCTCAAGAAATTAGGTCTAGCATTCTATACGTTCATAATACGTATGAATGTAGTGTTGAGAACTGCAGGGTAAGACTTCTATTTCCCACCCCTGTACATATGTGATAGATATGTACATATAGTTTTGTGCATGTTTATTGCACAGCTTGTGCCAGTATGGCTAATTCATCCAGATCCAGTAGCAGGTTTTCGGAGGTGTCGTGTGCATGTTCTCACTCTATTTCTTACATCTCTGGCCTGATGCAGAAAAACCATTGAGTTAGTGTTCACTTCTCATCAAATAGCTAAATAACTCTTGTTTTTTATATCTAAACTTGTCAAGGAAAAAAGGAAAAGGAAATTTCATTAGATGCTGGCTCAGTTATTGGCAGAAATATGCATATCGGGCAGATAATTGTGCAGAATTTCTTTCTGTACTAGACTGATGAGAGCATAGCAATAGAAACAATGTCAGATTTCAGTATTAAAACTTGTTAGGACTTTTACAAATAAGATAACTTAAATGTTAGTCCATTTTAATGCTAGTGCATGGAAACTACATTATTAAATTTGGGATCTATTATTCCACATTCTTCAATAAAGAAAAAGGCAAAATGAATTTATTTTTGGAAGAAAATGTCCCTGGTTTTGTTAATATACATTATTTACCACAATGAAAGTAATGAGAATAGAAATTTACAGACCCTAAAAAAGGGAAATGAATGTAATGAGCTTTTCTGCATACTGATAAAATTTGAAGTATTTATTGCATCAATACATTCCCAAATCCTGTAGCTTACTGCCATAACGTCAAGCCAATTACAGAGTAAATATCTTTTTAGCCCGTTTCTGGTTACTTTTATGGAAACAAAATTGTAAGGCAGTTTCAATCTTTTCAGCTGCACAACAGAGTAATTTTCTTGGCTTCCTGCTCATACAGTCCCAGCAGTCCTAGCTGTGTTGCCTGGATACTCCATCTCCTGCGGCATCTGTAAATTGGCCAATTCAACAGGAGGATTCGTAAAATAAATGAAAAAAGCATCCTGGGGGAGGGGTGCAATAATTTGTCAGATACTAGACTAAATTATGCTGTAAAACAAAACAAAAAATTCAATAGCAAAATTTCAGCTTGTTAACGTGGATAGGGTTAATTAGGAAAATTGCTGGCATATTTATTTTTTGTTGCATGCACCAGGCTTGTATTAAGGATAGATGTATATTGCAGTCTGAGATGTCTGTTCCCTTTAGGCAGAATAGCTCTTACTTCCATTCTTTGATCTTCCCCTCTCCCCCTTTCCAAAATGCACTCAAAGGAGTAAGCTTTCTCTTAAAGGTCTGAAAGGCATGTTCAGAAACACATCCAACAGAGTTGTACTTCCTTGTTCACTTTTGTGGTTATGTGCTTAACTTGTGCTCGCTTCGGGAATCATTTAGGGTATCTACGTAGTCATATGAACAGCTATACTCACCCATAGGAGTGCAAGTTTTATCAGGTTCTACATATTAGCTTGCCTTGTCTGCTCGTATTTTTGTGTATCTTTTTGCATTGCACCTAACCTTTTTTAATACTGGAAGGCTAAGCTGATATGTGCTTTTTTTTCTGTCCTCCTTTCCCTTCTATGAGGGATTGCTGATGGTTTGATTCCGTTAGAATTCAGAGAGCCAAGCAGGAGAGCAAGCAGAATGGAAAGCTCTTTCATGGTATTTTCATATGTATATTTGCAAAACTTGCTAATGCTGTAAGTATGGTTTAAGGAAATTTTTGATTGAAAATCTGTTAGGGGTTTAAGTGTAAAGCTTAGAAAATAGGTTGTTCAGATTACTGTATCAGTAACAAGTTTAAAAACAATTTGCAAATGCAGTTCATTTAACTTCCTTAAATCTTCTATTTTTTTTTTTTTTTAAACATACTGTGGTGCTGTAGAAATGCCACGTCTACAAAGTTCTGTTTGAGATTCGCAGCCAGGGTTGATTGGATTATGCTCTCACAAGTGTACTTAACGCATCGGGGAGCCGCGACCTGGATGGGAGTAAAACCTCTTGCGCGCTTTTCCTTCTCAAGCATTAAGCTTTCCTTGAGTTATTGAAATTAATGTATATGGAAGAAGTGATGAATATAAGACTTAGAGTGACTGTTTTTCTTTTCTATTAGAAGTAAAAATGAAGAATAGGATTTGTATATTTTCTCTCATTTTGCTGCTGTCTAGCTTTTTTCTTGCTGCCATTTGTACTATAAGTTACAGTAGCATTCTCTTTCTTTCAATGCTCTGTCAAATACTGGCAAATTGAGATTTTAAAAAATAGATCAATGCAATTGCAAAAAACTACTTTTCTATCAGAGAGGAGACTCATATTGTATGAGATACATCTGCATGCTGTGAGCACAGCTTTGGGGCAGAGGCTTTTTTACTGGAGAGAACCTCCCTGTTGGTTCCCCTGTGCAAGTATTAGAGTCTTTGTCCTAGTAAAATTTGATTCCAGACTTGAATTCACACTGTAGTAATCTTGTGGCTCCCTCTTGTGGTTCTTTTAACTCTGGGAGTAAGTTATTTTATTTTAGAATTGAGGTTTCAGTACCAAAAGAGTTCATTATTCTGTCAAAGTGCAAGCATGAACATAAAAAATGCAGACTATACCATAAGACTCCACTGATCAAATTTGTCGCTACACTTTTCTTAGTAGTGTGTGGTGTGTTGCGTGTTTTTTTTTTTTTTTTTTGGGGGGTGTGGGGTTGTTTGTTTTTTTTTTTTTTTTTTTTTTTTTTTTTTTTTTTTTTTTTTTGTCAGCATCCTCAAAGCTCTATTTAGGCAGAAAGTCCCATTAAAATGATAAGCATCTGGGCAGAACTGGATTACTCCTGTTTTCTTTGGGACGTTGCTTTGCGGGTACTGCGTAACTGAGATTGTATGTGCTATTTGATTTGAAGCCTGAATAAATTTGAAATAGTCAGCGTTTTACATTACAAGACTTGAGAATTCCTCAAGTTCTTCAAATTCCGGTAGTTTTTAGTTGAGTCCCTTTAGACTCTTAGTGTCATTGGCCATGTTTTTGAGCTGTAGAAGTACTTCAGAAACCAGAAAAGAGTGATTTTTGCAGAGTTTTTTTTTTTTTAATGTGTTAAACTGGTGCCAAGACGTCCCACAAGTACCCTTAGTCTCCCTAGCTCTTTGCTTGATGCAACTAAGTAGTTAGATTTCTTTTGTCCACTTGCAAAGGTCCTGAGCAAGAGCAGATGCTGTCTCAGTGGGAGATAACCTTTCCCTGCCACACTTTCTGAGCTGACATACGTGGAATACTTGACTCTCTTGAGCTGTTTGCCCATACACTTTTGGAAGTTTTCACATTTTCATTGTTCACCTCTCCAGGAAACCGTCTCATCCTCAGCTTGAAGCTTTCATTAAACATATGTCCAAAGGCGCTGCAGCCCAAATGGATGGTACCCTCGGCAGCCTTCCCCGTTATCCCAGCCACTCGCTGTGTGAAATGGGCGAGCTTACCCAGACAGGTAACTTCCTGCAGCAACTTCTTTTCTTTCTTCCATGGTTAAATACAGCCTCCTTAAAAAGGGATATTCTGTTTATCTCTATATGAACATGTGTGTTATCTGTATAGCTAATTTTGTGGAAACTTGTGGTTTTGATCATAGCTTTGGTTATGCAGGAATATGAATAATAATGTAAGAAATACTGTATACTAGGGAGTGGAAATGGTTTCTAGTTAACTGTACTTTGTCCTACAGCCTGTCTTGTCTTCTGTTGAATTTGCTTTGTTCTAAGCTTTATAAAATGTCAAAACTATTAAGCAAGCAGGGCTGAACTGTTTCTGGTGTATCTATGTATGTCTGTACCACAAAGAAATTAAGCTTGTTCATATATTTTGTGTCAGATTTGTTGAGCTTAGTTTTTGTGAGAAAAGGTGGCAATACCAGCATGTAACTTCATACAATTTATTAAAAAAAAAAAGGGGGGGGGATCTTTATTTCTACCACTGAGAAAAGGCTGTTGAACTCTCGTAGTGAACATGCAAACATACACTTTAGTTTATCCATGCCAAATTGGTAGGGAAGTGTTGCAGTAAGAAATATGGCCATATAGAAGAAAAAATGTGGAGAGCTGGGAGTATTGTGTTTAATTGTATGTTATAATTTACCTTAAAATTCTCTTCTAGGTGTGGTACAGCACTTGCGAAATGGACAACTACTACGAGACATCTATATAAACAAACATAAACTGCTCCAGAGCGACTGGGCAGCAAAACAGCTCTACTTGGAGACGACGGGCAAGAGCCGCACGCTGCAGAGCGCGCTGGCGCTGCTCTACACGTTCCTGCCCGATTTTGACTGGAAGAAGATTAACATGAGGCATCAGTGGAGCACCATCTTTTGCTCTGGAAGCTGTGACTGCCCAATGCGAAACCACTACCTAGAAGAGGAGCAACGCCGACAGTACAGCTTACGGGTGAAGAACAACAATTTGGAGAAAATATACGTGGATATGGCAAAAATTGTAGGCATTCCTACCAGGCAGTTGAGAGCTTCTAACCCAATAGATTCTCTCCTGTGCTATTTTTGCCATAATGTCAGTTTTCCCTGCACTAACACTGGCTGCATTGGGATGGAACATTTTAAAGTAATCAAGAGACACCAATTAGAGGATGAAAGAGAAAGACAGGAAAAGAAACTCTATTTCTTGTACGCACTGTTGGCTACTCACCCTCTCCTCAACCAGACTGTTAACCGGCTGCAGCGTATTGCAGAAGGCAAGAAAGAAGAATTATTTGTGCTTTACTCCGCCCATGATGTCACATTGTCCCCTGTTCTCAGTGCCTTGGGCATTACTGAAGCCAGATTTCCGAGATTTGCAGCCCGATTAGTCTTTGAGCTGTGGCAGGACGGGAAGAGACCCAAAGAGCACTTTATCCGCATCCTCTACAATGGTGCTGATGTCACATTCCAGACCTCGTTCTGCAAGGATTATTACAAGCGTTCCAGCAAGCCCATGTGCCCACTAGAAAAGTTTGTGAACTTTGTCAGAAGGGAAATGTTCTTGGTTTTTAATAGTACTAGTTACTATGATGCATGTCGTAGAAGACCGCTGTAAGGAGGGGAAGTGAGAAGGAAGCAATGTTACCTTGTGTATCAGTGCGAGTCTCTTGTATCTTTTCTGGTGGAGGGGAAGATCAGTCTGACCATTTCTTGTACTTGTTTGTGTAAGTACAAAAGAATATTGCTTGAAACAGTTTTCAGGTAGTTTTATTTTCATTGAAAAACCATAGATGGTCTCCAGTAGAAGAACTGAGGGAGTATTGTGTATATGTGTGTGTGCTCATGTATGGTGTGTTAACTGTAATGAATTGATAAAGCACATGGGCTACTGTAACCTGGTTGTTGCTTGACAAAAAAAGCGAGAGATTTGATTTCTCTGAATTCCAGAGCAATACTTGTATACCATTAGTTTAAAAGGAAAAGTGGGTTGTTTTTTTGTTTGTGTCCCTACCACCACGTTATAGTCATTTTAAGCCTTATAAATGCCTTAAATTCCAGGCATCCATATGAAACCTTTTGTATAGAGTTCCTGAAACTCACTCCTCAGAGACACATTTTAGTATTTTACGGGGCAGATTCTTAAAAGTGCAAATGTTTCTGTGCACACTTCCCTGGGCATGCACAGAGGAGTGGGTGTGTTTTTGTTCAAAGACCTCTAAATATTTGGCTTCTGTTGTCTGTGCCAGAGAAAGGTATCCTGGAAAATGGACACAAAAATCTCTTCCTTGCTCGCACTTTCAGCACTTTGAATAATTCAAACACAGTCTGGAAACATGTAAAGGTCTTCTGACCACCTTCAAAACAAACAGATAGTGAATACTAACATTACCACTAAATCTGAGTGAGATTAGGACTATAAATCAGTTCTATGGTGAAGTGTTGCATTCTTTCCCATTAGGAACACTCTCGAGCTGCTGTGCTGTGGAACAAGTCAGTGTTTTAGGAGTTTGATATAGTGGCTACTTGAGACAGCTTGACTAAACACTAAGAAATTTTGTAGTTCAGTTAGTATTTTTATGGACTAGGAAGTTCTTATTTTGTAAGACCAGACTTGTACATATTGTACTGTGTCTATTTATAACACAGTAAATCTTTTGTACTTGTTTAGTTTGTGAAGAGCTGTGAAAAGCTGACTTAGACATTTTTCCCCCATTTGGGATGTATAGATTAAATTGTCTTTTATGGGTAATTTGAACAACTCCAGTAGATACAAAAACTTGTATTTTAAACTGCTCTCATCTTCTTTAGGATTAGCAAATTGAGAACCGATTTTTAATAGAAGTGTTTGAAAAAAAATTTCATTACTAGAATATTGAATTTTATAATGGTGGAGCTTTTCACATGTCTAGAAATCATTTAGTCTGTGACTTGTGATTCAATGGTGCTAGTTTATCAAAGGAAATATAACTAAACAGAAGTTCTCTTAACTTTATTGGCATTCCAGTCTTTTCTTTCTCTCTCTTTCTCTATCTCTCTATTTGCAAATGCTGCATTTGAACATGTTTCTTTAAATAAAATTTTGAGGACTCTTCGTATCCTCGTGTGTTTCACTTATTTGAATTTCTTTAACTATTGGCAAGTTCATTTTTTTTTAAGCTGATCGTCTCATTACCAACATTCATGGCTTGCAATTAATACCTTCCAAGTTTCAATAGGAGAAGGTAGGTAAATACCTCATGAAGGCAGAAATAGAAATGGTGATAGAATATTTGGGACTTTTTATGGCGTGTTAGAGTGTGACTGCTGGAAGAGCCTTCTTTGTCTAAGGGACTAGCTGTGTAGTTGGCCTGTGTATTTCTGTGGTGAAGGGCAAACAGGAAGAGGGAATCTAAAAACTTGAGCTCCCTTAGAGTAAAACTTTTTTTTGTACAGATGATGTGAAATGAATCATTGGTCCAAAATAACTTCAGGACTCTTCACAGTACTTAATACTTTTCTGGTAACTACTTCTGTAGCTCTTCAGTGTGTTGATCTCATGGAGATTTGGGGCTGACTTGGTGGCTTTTTGAAGAATCACAGAATCATAGAATGCTTAGGGTTGGAAGGGACCTCTAGAGATCATCTAGTCCAACCCACCTGCACACGCAGGGTCACCTAGAGCACGTGGCACAGGACTGCGTCCAAGCGGGTTTTGAAGATCTCCAGAGAAGGAGACTCCACAACCTCTCTGGGCAGCCTGTTCCAGTGCTCTGTCACCCTGAAAAGAGGCCAGCACCATCCTCCTCACTGCCTCCCTTGAGGTACTTCTAGACACTGCTCAGGTCCCCTCTCAGCCTTCTCTTCTCCAGGCTGAACAGGCCCAGCTCCCTCAGCCCCTCCTCACAGGGCAGATGTTCCAGGCCCCTGATCATCCTTGTGGCCCTGCTGAAGTGTAGAAAGCTACCTAGGCATATTATTGGCATATTATTTGCCAACTGTTTTGGCAAATGCCAGAGTAGGTATCTTCAAAAACTTGTGCTAGGAATAGTATCTAACCTCACACCTTTATTCAACAATAGATCACAATGTCTTTTGGTTTGCCTGTGCAGAAAGATCCCCTTTGTTGTGGGAATTTTGCAGTGTGGCTGTAAGGTGGCATGAATGTGAGTTTGGATGGCTTTCTAATTTGTTGTGCTTAAAGAATCCTTGAGATCCCAGATGTTGATGGATATTGCAGCTGCTCTCTAAATTGCTAACTTAACCTTCTAGTAGAGTAACAAAAATGCAGTGATGTTTATCGATTTTTTTTTCTCTCTCCCTGGACAACTACCAAGTGCTTTACTTGAAAACTTAAGTAGATTTTTGAGGCTAATAACATAGGTGGATTTTCCATATTGGATGCTAGGAAATATGTGCATGGCCTGTACAGGTGCAGAAAATGTGATGCTGTTACAGCTGTAGTTTCTCAGCTTGCCCCAGATGTCAAATTCTTGTTTTTTTTAGATATCTCATCTCAATCAATGCTGCTCTGGAGCAGTGTGTTCTTGGTAATCCTGCTGCTGTGAATATGAAGTTCTCTTACCTTCTGGCCAGAGTACCAAGTAAGGCTGGTAGTAAGAAATCTGGGTTAGGAATATATGACAAGCAAAATGAAGAGGAAAATCTGGAGCTAACCTGTCCAAACTTTGTAAGGGACAGGTTCTTTGTATTGTTTAGGTGACTTAAGATGTAGATCAGTTGCATCAAAAGGTGTGTCTGAGCAATTGATAATAAGACTCTTGGGATATTTTTATTCTTAGAACAAAGTAAATGCATTACAGCCTTTAAGAATACTCAGGTTTACTCAACCTTTAGAAGAAAAAAAAAAGCTTTATTTAACCCTTAGAACTAATATAACAATCCTCAGACTGACTCTGGGCTTATTAAGGGGCATCTGAATACAGCTGGTTGTGTCCAGTTGTGCTATCGACACTTGTAAAGGGGAGTGAGGAGGAAGCCTTCAGGGAAGGAGAAGCAAGAGCAGTCAGAAACCTTTTTTTATTATTTATTCTTTTTGCTTTTAAATGCACCTAGCAGAAGGTGCTGAGTCCTTTGTGAACCTTGTGTTTTCTTCATCACCAGGATAAAATGTGGCTTGGTCAATGTTTGAAGTCAAAGTCTTCTAACAGATTTGGTGGATGTGAGGGCTGAGTGTTGAACAACAACAACAACAAAAAAAGCAACTAAGGAAACTGCAGTTCTTAAGAAGTGGTAGGGTAATTAACCCCTTAATTAGGGATGTAATTCATTCACTAATCATTTGAATGTCTTAAATTTCAGACGAGATGTTTCATTAAAAAGATATGTCTTACTGAGCTAACATGTTAAGGGGTTTACACAAGGATTTCTGGGCTTTGTGCTATACAAGAAGGCCAAGTAGATTATGTTAATTATCTTGCCTTGGTTTAAAGTATGTCATTCAGCTAGTTTATGCTTTGTTTTTGATGCAAATATAACAGAGTATAAAACCAGCTATTCTTTCAGTATATCATATTCCTTTCCAGAGTGTTGGCATTTTAAATAATGATGTTGCAGCTTGCTTCTATTTCCACGTTTTCATGCTAACATCATAATTTCTTATCAGAAATACAGTGATCTGGTCAAGCAGACAGATTCAGCAGACAGAGGAGATGCAAGAGTGAGAAAATTTTCTCCTTTTTGAAAAAAATCATCTGCCTCCAAAACAGAAAAACAGGAGGAATTGAAGCTAGTTTCGCTGGTTCACTGCTTGCTAATCTCATTTTCCTTTTTTGCTGAAACCTTTCTCAGAGAAGTAATGTCCTTTGCTCTGTGCTAGAGCTGTACCTGAGCTGGTCTAAGATGACATTTATCAGCAGTTACTATGCTCTTCACTGAATTTCCTTCCCCTTACACCCGAACTCACAATTAAGTAGGTTTATGGAAAAAATTTACCTCTTATTAATTAACTTTTATTTCAGTCTGTGATGTGGTAATTGTTTTTGTTTTAGGGGAGAAAGAAAAACACTGCAAAGCATCAGCTTGCAGAGGTGCCATGAAAGATATTTTCCCTTTGGTAGTGGGCACAACCAGCCAGCCCTCCCTCTGAAGCAGGAGCTGGTGGCTGCTTGCAGATGGGCAGCTCGCTTGAACACACATACGTGGACAGGCTCACCTGAGCCGGAGGCCTTGCTGTGTGTTTGGGACACTTACAACTTCAGGCAGACTGGCGCAAAAGGTAAATTAATGGTCCTGGCAGTATCCATGTGTCCCAATAGCTGTGTGAAATGGGAATTGTAAGATTGGGCTGAATTGTGATGGGCTGGGTGCTGTCCTTAACCTTGGTACAGCACTTTGGCAGCCTTAATTTCTGTCTGCCTGCTAAGAAAAGCCACTGTAAATCTGCAAGCAACGCAGTGGGAGATGAAATGGCATTTTTCTTTCCTGGGTAGCTCCCGAAGTCAGTGTAGTCGCACTGATGAAGCAGCTGAGGGTCTCGCCCTGCCCTGTCGCCAGCGTGGATCCTGTTGGTGCGTGACGCCGGTAGCAGCCTATTTGCTCCCGCTCATTTCCGCGGTTCCTCTCTCCTTTTCCCTCCTCCCGCCCGCCCCCGCGCCCTCCTCCGGCACCGCCAGC